GGATGGGCAATTGAAAACTAGCTTGCCTTACAAGAAAAACACTCTGCTTTTGTGAAAGGGGCACTCTTGTACTGAACTATGTTTCCTATAGGGCCAAAACAGTGAGCTGGCTCAGAACAAAAGAACTGTGCTACCAACGCACATGAGGCATACCTAGTTCAACTCATCATTGGACACTGACTAGAATAGGTGCTTCTCTTCAGTCCAATACACTGTACTGGCTGGTTACAGATGCGAGTTCTATTTGTCCTGTGTATGTACACGGGAGCACAAGAGTGGCTGTACTTAACCTAAATGAACACTTACTTTTAGAAATCAAAACTCTATGGGATTCAACTCCATTTAGGAAGGGCAAGTGAACCCCCGATTGACTTACAAGAAAAGCAATCTGCTTTTCAGAAATGGGCACTCTTGTACTCTACTGTTTTTCATATAGGGCCAGAACAGTGACCTGGCTCAGAACAAAAGAACTGTGCTTCCAACACACACGAGGCATACCTAGTTCAAGTCAGCATTGGAAACTGAATAGAATAGGGGCTTATCTTCAGTCCAATACACTGTACCTGCTGGGAACAGATGCGAGTGCTTTTTGAACTCTGTTTTGCAAGGGGAGCACAAGAGTGACTGTTCTTAACCTAAATTAACACATGCTTCTAGAATTTGAAAGTAAATGGTATTCAACAGCCTTTAGGAAGGGCAATTTATCCCTAGCTTGCCTTACAAGAAAAACACTCTGCTTTTGACAAAGGGGCACTCTTGTACTATCCTGTTTTCTATAGTACCAGAACAGTGAGCTTGCTCAGAACAAAAGAACTGTGCTTCCAAAACACACGAGGCATACATAGTTCAAGTCAGTATTGGAAACTGACTAGAATAGGAGCTTCTCTTCTGTCCAATTCCTTGTACTTGCTGGGAACATACGTGAGTACTATTTGCACTGTGTAAGGCCAGAAGAGCATAAGATTGGCTGTTCCTACCCTGAATTAACCCTTGCTGCGAAAACGTGAAACCGAATGTAATTCAACTCCATTTAAGAATGGCAATTGAACCCTAATTTGCTTTACAAGAAAAATACTCTGCTTTATAAACGGGCACTCTTGTAACCTAATGTGTTTCCTATAGGGCCATAACAGTGAGCTGGCTCAGAACAAAAGAACTGAGCTTACTACAGAAATGAGGCATACCTAGTTCAACTCAGCATTGGAAACTGACTTGAATAGGAGCTTCTCTTCAGTCCAATACACTGTACTTGCTGAGAACAAACACGAGTGCTATTTGCACTGTGTATGTGCAGAAGAGCACAAGAGTGTCTGTTCTTAACCTGAATTAACACTTGCTCAGATAATGTGAAACCAAATGTAATTCAACTCCTTTTAAGAATGGCAATTGAACCCTAGCTTGCCTTACAAGAAAAACTCTCTGCTTTTGAGAAACAGGCATTCTTGTACTCTACTGTGTTTCCTATAGGGCCAGAACAGTGAGCTGGCTCAGAACAAAAGAACGGTGCTTTACACAAACGAGGCATACCTAGATCAATTCAGCATTGGAACCTGACTAGAACAGGAGCTTCTCTTCAGTCCAATACACTGTACTTGCTGAGAACAGACAAGAGTGCTATTTGTACTGTGTAAGGGCAGAAGAGCATAAGAGTGGCTGTTCTTAAACTGCAACAACACTTGCTGCTTGAACTTGAAACAGAATGTGATTCAACTCCGATTAGGAAGGTTAACTGAACCCTAGCTTGCCTTACAAGAACAACACGATGCTTTTGAGAAACGGGCGCTTTCTAACCACTCTGTTTCTTATAGGGCTAGACCACTGAGCTGGCTCAGAACAAAAGAACAGTGCTTCCTACAAAACGAGGCAAACCTAGTTCAACTCAGGATTGGACACTGACTAGAATAGGAGATTTTCTTTAGTCCAATATACTGTACTTGTTGGGAACAAATGCGAGTGCTATTTGCACTGTTTATGGGCAGAAGAGCATAAGAGTGGCTGCTCTTACCCTTAATTAACACTGGCTGTTGAACTTGAAACGGATGTAATTCAACTCCGTTAAAGAATGGCAAATGAACCCTAGCTTGCTTAACAAGAAAAACACTCTGCTTTTGAGAAATGGGCACTCTTGTACTCTACTGTGCTTCCTATAGGGCCAGAACAGTGAATTGGATCGGAAAAAAGAACTGTGCTTCCTACACAAAAGAGCCATACTTACTACAACTCAGCATGGGAAACTGACTAGAATAGGAGCTTCTCTTCAGTCCAATATACTGTACTAGCTGGGAACATCGTGAGTGTGTCTGCACTGTGTATGGCCAGAAGAACACAAGGGTGGCTGTTCTCTCCCTGATTTAACACTTGCTTCTAGAATGTGAAACCGATTGTAATTCAACTGTGTTTAAGAATGGCAATTGAACCCTAGCTTGTCTTACCAGTAAAAAACTCTGCTTTTGAGAAACGGGCACTCTTGTAAACTCATGTGTTTCCTATAGGGCCAGGACAGTGAGCTGGCTCAGAACAAAAGAACTGTGCTTCCTACACAAATGAGGCATACCTACTACAACTCAGCATTGGAAACTGACTAGATTGGAGCTTCTCTTCAGTCCAATACACTGTACTTGCTGGGAACAGATGTGGGTGCTATATGCACTGTGTTTGGCCAGAAGACCTCAAGTGTGGCTGTTCTTACCCTGATTTAACAGTTGCTGCGAGAACGTGAAACTGAATGTGATTCAACTCCGTTTAGGAAGGTTAATTGAACCCTAGTTGTCTACAGGAAAAAGACTCTGCTTTTGAGAACAGGCACTCTTGTACTCTAATGTGTTTCCTATAGGGCCAGAACAGTGAGCAGGCTCAGAACAAAAGAACTGTGCTTCCTACACCAACGAGGCATACCTAGTTCATCTCAGCATTGGAAACTAACATGAATAGGAGCTTCTCTTTAGTCCAGTACACTGTACTTGCTCAGAACAGACGAGTGATATTTGCACTGTGTATGGCCAGAAGAACAAAAGAGTGGCTGTTCTTAAACTGAGCTATACTTGCTGCTAGAACTTGAAACTGAATGTGACTCGACTCCGTTTAGGATAGTTAACTGAACACTAGCTTTCCTTACCAGAAAAACACTCTGCTTTTGAGAAATGAGCACTCTTGTACCCTACTGTGTTTCCCATTGGGCCAGAAGAGTTAGCTGGCTCAGAACAAAAGAACTGTGCTTCCTACACAAACGAGGCATACCTAGTTAAACTCAGCATTGGAAACTCACTAGAATAGGAGCTTCCTACAGTCCATTACAGTGTACTTGCTGGGAACAAACACGAGTGCTATTTGCACTGTGTATCGGCAGAAGAGCACAAGGTGGTTGTTCTTATCCTGAATTAACACTTGCTGCTAGAATGTGAAACCAAATGTAATTCAACCTCATTAAAGAATGGCAATTGAACCCTAATTTGCTTTACAAGAAAAATACTCTGCTTTAGGGAAACGGACACTCTTGTAACCTAATGTGTTTCGTATAGGGCCAGAACAGTGAGCTGGCTCAGAACAAAAGAACGGTGCTTTACACAAATGAGGCAATGCTAGTTCAACTCAGCATTTCAAACTGACTAAAATAGGAGCTTCTCTTCAGTTCAATACACTGTACTTGCTGGGAACAGACCGAGTGCTATTTGCACTGTGTATGGCCAGAATAACAAAAGAGTGGCTGTTCTTAAACTGAGTTAACACTTGCTGCTAGAACGTGAAACTAAATGTGATTCAACTCCGTTTAGGAAGGTTAACTGAACCCTAGCCTGCCTTACAAGAAAACACTCTGCTTTTGAGAAACGGGCACTCTTGTACCCTACTGTGTTTCCTATAGGGCCAGAATAGTTAGCTTGTCAGAACAAACAACTGTGTTTCCTACACAAACCAGGCATACCTAGTTCACCTCAGCATTGGAATCTGACTAGAATAGGATCTTCTTTTCAGTCCAATACACTGTACTCGCTGGAAACAGCACGAGTGCTATTTGTACTGTGTATCGGCAGAAGAGCACAAGAGTGGCTCTTCTTACCCTGAATTAACACTTGTTGCTTGAATGTGAAACTGACTGTATTCAACTCCGTTTAAGAATGGCAATTGTACCCTAGCTAGCGTTACAAGAAAAACACTCTGCTTTTGAGAAACGGGCACTCTTGTTCTCTACTCTGTTTCCTATAGGGACACAACAGTGAGCTGGCTCAGAACAAAAGAACTGTGCTTCCTACACTAATGAGGCATGCCTAGTTCAACTCAGCATTGAAAACTGAATAGAATAGGAGCTTCTCTTCATTCCAATACACTGTACTTGCTGGGAACAGACGTGAGTGCTATTTGCACTGTGTATGGGCAGAAGAGCACAAGAGAGGCTGTTCTTACCCTGAATTAGCACTTGCTGCTAGAATGTCAAACTGAATGTGATTCAACTCCGTTTAAGAATGACAATTGAACCCTAGGTTGCGTTACAAGAAAAACACTCTGCTCTTGAGAAATGGGCACTCTTGTACTCTACTCTGTGTCCTATAGGGACAGAACAGTTAGCTGGCTCAGAACAAAAGAATTGTGCTTTCTATACAAACGAGGCATACCTATTTCAACTTAGCATTGGAAACTGACTAGAATAGGATCTTCTCTTCAGTCCAGTACACTGTACTTGCTGGAAACAGACGTGAGTGCTATTTGCACTGAGTAACAGCAGAAGAACACAAGAGTGGCTGTTCTTACCCTGAATAAACACTTCCTGCTATAACGTAAAACCGAAGGTAATTCTACTCCTTTAAGACTGGCAATTGAGCCTCTCGTACTCGCTGCTCCACGCTGAGAGGTGTTCGGCATCCAAGAGGTGCGGTCTCACGGCTTAGGGGCAGGTTGGCGTGCCTGCGTGCTCGCGTCTGCGCCCCTGCGGGCCTTCAGTGGCCGAGAAGCCAGGGTTTTGTGTTTTTGGCAGTGGCCTGAGGACCATGCATGCCGCTGGGCAGCACCGTACCCCGGCCTCACCATGTTGGTCCTGTCGAAATGTCTGTTGGCTTCGCCATCTTTAAGGTTTTGAATGAGAAGAAACTTCAAGAGGTTGATAGTTTATGGAAAGAATTTGAAACCCCCAGAAAAAGCAAATAGAATAGTAAAGCTAAAACATTTTGAGAAATTTCAGCATACAGCGGAAGCATTAGCAACATTCACAGCTCTAATGGAGGGCAAAATCAATAAGCAGCTGAAGAAAGTTCTGAAGAAAATAGTAAAAGAAGCCCATGAACCTCTGGCTGTGGCTGACACTAAACTAGGAGGGGTGATAAAGGAAAAACTGAATCTCAGCTGTATCCATAGTCCTGTTGTAAATGATCTTATGAGAGGGATTCGATCGCAAATGGATGGTTTGATTCCTGGGGTAGAACCACGTGAGATGGCAGCCATGTGTCTGGGATTGGCCCACAGCCTGTCTCGATACAGATTGAAATTCAGTGCTGATAAAGTAGACACAATGATTGTTCAGGCGATTTCCTTATTAGATGACTTGGATAAAGAACTAAACAACTACATTATGCGGTGTAGGGAGTGGTATGGCTGGCACTTCCCTGAGTTAGGGAAAATCATTTCAGATAATTTGACATACTGCAAGTGTTTACAGAAAGTTGGTGACAGGAAGAACTATGCATCTGCCTCTCTTTCTGAATTGCTGTCAGAGGAGGTAGAGGCAGAAGTGAAAGCACCTGCAGAGATATCCATGGGAACAGAGGTTTCTGAAGAAGATATTTGCAACATTCTACATCTGTGTACCCAGGTGATTGAAATTTCTGAATATAGAACCCAGCTATATGAATATCTGCAAAATCGCATGATGGCCATAGCACCTAATGTTACAGTCATGGTTGGGGAGTTAGTGGGAGCACGGCTCATTGCTCATGCAGGGTCTCTGTTGAATTTGGCAAAGCATGCAGCTTCTATGGTTCAGATTCTTGGCACAGAAAAAGCACTTTTCAGGGCCCTCAAATCAAGACGAGACACCCCTAAATATGGGCTCATTTATCATGCTTCTCTCATAGGCCAGTCAAGTCCCAAACACAAAGGAAAGATTTCTCGAATGTTGGCAGCCAAAACGGTTCTGCCTATCCGATACGATGCTTTTGGTGAAGATTCCAGTTCTGCGATGGGAGTTGAGAACAGAGCCAAATCAGAGGCCAGATTGAGAATTTTGGAGGTCCGAGGGATAAGAAAAATAAGTGGAACAGGAAAGGCCTTAGCAAAAGCAGAAAAGTATGAACACAAAAGTGAAGTGAAGACATATGATCCCTCTGGTGACTCCACACTTCCAA